CAGGTCTTTGGCAAATCTTGGCTTCAACAGTGCTTGACTTCAGATGGTAAGATAATGGGAGGGTCTTGGGAAAATCAGAACCAAAGCCTATTAACCCCAGTAATGGGTAAAAGAGATGCAATCTTTGGTGTGCAAATATAAATGCTGACACAAAATAATTAGTAACATTGCAAGTCAGGTACAGCACTGCTTTGACCTGCATGTAACCAGTATTTGATAATATCCTGAAGTCCTTCATGTTTATATTAGATAAACTCTGCAGAACAAGCAAAATTCTTGTGATACTGATGGGTATGTCTCACTGATGGATGTACAAAACACAAGATCTCTACCACTTGTTGCACAGGGTGGTGGTTGTCAGACCCCTCTGCTTTTCAATCCTTGAGTCAGGACCATGGACTGTTGATCAGAGTCACAGTACGTCAGTAGTGCAACCTGGGGAAGGAGAGCAAGAGCAAACCATGGTGCAAATGAGATGTCAGCACTGATCAAAATTAAAAGCTAAATTTCCTTTTCCTCCCTCTCAAAAAAGTGTATTTTTAAGGTGAAGAAACTGACACCCACACACACATGTATTTTTAAGGTGAAGAAACTGACACCCACCCCACACACACGTTTGCTCTTTCACAGCTTGCAGAAGAAGTGCTAGTTTGTTAGGACAGGTGATTTCCCAAATGAGTGTTGTGACCTCAAAATGAGATTTCTTTAAGGTAACAGAAGTAATCGGGATTTTTCATTAGTGAGACACTGACTATGTCTGTAGTACAAAAATCATCCTGCAGGCATCTGAGTTCAGGCACCTCTCCATGATCCCCCAAACTGCTCAGTTATTAACTATCTCCTTGGTGTGGTCTCCGTCGATGGCAGCTTCCCCTCACCCACATGGTTCCCAGAGATCTAGGGACAGCAGAGACCACAGTCCATCCCCAGTGGACAGACAAAGTGGGTATTTGAGGTGGAGGGAAGAGAGACTCACTCCCTGGGCAGGTGCCCTCTGTCATCACTTGCCCTTCTGGTCAGAGAACAGGCCTTGACCTGTTTCACTGGCCAGTTGAGATGTCACTCTGGGCTGAGTTTTCAGAACAATCATTCAGAAGAAATAAAGCAAATAAAATGAAATGCCCCTGTGCATTCAGCTGCTGCTTCCCTTGTGCTGTGGCAAAATATCCCACCTTGTTTCAGGAAAATACTACAGAGCAGACCTGAATTTCCCTTCCACCCTGCCGAAAAGAAAAGACAGCGTGAAGCAATTTGAATATGATCCTCCTTTATCTTGCTGTGGTATTTTCCAGTCAAGGCTTATAGGTAAGCTGGATAACATCCTACTGAAAATGTAAGAGTTTGGGAAGAAGGCATTCATCATCTGCAAAAAGTGATACTGACTTTGCAGTAGAAAAATTTCATAGCAGCACTCAGTGTGTAACTCGTGGTAACACTTCTCCATGGGCAACCACTGCAAGATGGTAATAGGAAATAATAGGAAATAGCAAAATAGTAAAATAATTAGTCAAATAGAGAGCAGAGCTGGTTGAACATCTTTAGGAACCATTCTGCCAGTTCATGCCAAGGAAAGTTAAAAGAAAGAAGGTGCAACACTACCTGTGTCCTGCTGCTTATCTGCAAGGGACTAATGTCTTATGCAGCTGTCACTGAAAGGGCAGTGAGGAATGAAGGGGCCAGCCAGAGGAAGCAGGTTAGTGGTCAGCAGAGTGTGGTCACCTCATCACAGTAACCTGACAGCTGGGTGGTGTGGGTTAGTCTGAGTCAGTTCACTCAGCAGATGAAGTTGTTCCTGCTCTCTGAGCAAGCATGCCTGACTGAAACAATGCAGGTCTGGTTCAAATGCTTCTTTCTGATGATTCAGAGATACGGAGAGAGCCAAATGCCTAACTGCGGTTTGCAGATTTGGAGTGAATCTTCTACAATCATCTTTCCAACACTCATTTTAAACTTGCTGTTGCCAGCAGAATGAGCTTTTTAGTGAGCTCGGTCAGTCAACAGTGTGAAAAAAAATGAATAGAAATGGACCGCCAGTATAACCCACACCAATGAATCTTACAAAATCCAAGCTGTTTTTAGCAGAAAGTATTTTGTGGTAGTTTCTCATCTGTCATGATTTGTAAAAGAGTGACTCATTTTGCCATTCCCATCCAGGGGAAGCTCTGCTGGACCAGGAGGTGACAGTCAGCTACGTGTACTCATCACCCGCCCTGCGCTGCGTGCAAACAGCCCAGCACCTGCTGCAGGGTAAGGCAGCAACACTGCACAGGTGCTTTCATCACCGGGAAAGTGTCTTTGTCATCTGTGAAGATAAGCAATGAAGAAGATTTCGTTGTTATTTGTTATATCTGAGCAAGGAAGACAAGATGTTTTCTGCTAATATAGGCAGCAATAAAACTGCTGCCCTGCGTATGGTCTGGAGAGCACTATCCCATTAACTCTAGCTCTCTAATGTTATATGGAACAGAGGCATTTCACATAAGGTTCAGTTCAACACTAGTAGCTGCTTATCAAATCATCACTGCCACCTTGTCCACAGGATATTCTGAGCCAGTTTCCAGTGTTCTGAAGGATGTACATGTAAATCAGGGAAGGCAGCTTTCTCCTGAAAGCATTCGTCGTTGCAGGCCAAACCACGATTTATTCCTTCCTGTTGCAGATCCTCTTTCTATCTCCCCTCTCTCACTCTCTCTTGTTTTTCCCTCTCCTGTCCTCTCCAAAGGGTCTGTCAGAGGTTCACAGTTCATTACCGTATTTACCTCAGAAATACGATGGGAATGCATTTCCTCTGGGAACTAGCACCACTCAGTAACCTCTCTTGAGAATCATAAACAAAAGAATGTGCCTTCCAACAAAATAATTCCATTTCTGGCACTATAGAACAATTTATTGCACCCCTGAGGATCACTGAGTAAAATGCTGTATAAAAATGACAAAAACATTAATTGTCTAAAGTTTATTCAGATTGCAACATTACTGAGGTCTTTTCTTCTATTCTCTTCTGTATCCTGTGTATCATAATAAGAGAGCTTCAGAAATAATAATGATTATGATTATAATGATATAATAACAATGACAATAACAGTAGTGCTTTAACATTAGTCAGACAAGAATACAACAGTGGCTTAATTTAAACAATATGATCCTCTTGTTTGAAAAGAAGTAATTAATTTTCATTAACAGAAGTATTACACCAAGCAAGGTAGAATGTATAGACTGATTGTAACACTTTGAGTGTACCTTCCTCTTCTTAAGAAATATTTCTTATTGTTGCAGGGCTTAAATTAGATCAAAAAGTCAAAATCAGGGTGGAACCAGGTCTGTTTGATTGGACCAAGTGGGAAGCAAGCAGAGTAATTCCTGATTTCATGACTGTGACAGAACTAGTAGAAGCATCTTACAAAATAGACACAAGTTACAGGTAATTGTTCCATATCTAGCTGTTAAAGCCATGTTTCTACTTCTTTGAGGTATGTCTTAATCTGTTTATTTCTCATAAACCATTATGAACATCGCAAAAAAATGGCTAATTCTGATAAAACTTAAGTCTGCATGATCTGTTCCCAAAACGTGATAAGCTGTCGGCTGTCTCATGACAAGGGCAAGCTTTTTTGCTGCTCTGACACAGAGACAACATGTGCACACCTGGGAATGTGAGCGTACATAGCACATGGATGCACCTGTGTCAGTTTGACTCAGGACAACCCGCACATACACAAACATCTCATACTTCTGTGTAGGAACAGCTGTGCTTTGGTGTTGCCTTCAGATCCATGGCCTCAGCCTCATGGTTTGTCATACACAAGGAGAGCTGCATTACAGGCTTCAGTGTCAGGTGCCAGGAGTGTTGTTTTTGTTGGCTCATGTGAAGCACATGTTAGAAACATGAAGAATATCCTGTTGGGTAAATAACAAGCTGGTTTTCAGCAACAAAGAAAAGTTTCCTAATTACTTTAGAAAAGGTGAGTAAGCCCTTTGCTGAGGGTCTGCAAGGGCAGCAGCAAGAGCTCTGCCCCATGGCAGAGGATGAGCCCAGCCTAGGAAGTGTAGACAACACAGCTGGGTGCCTGAAATATGGCTGTTTTGTATCACTGAAGCAACAGCTGCAAGAGGAAGGGAAAGGGTGGGGGGCACCCCATGCTCCCTGAAGTAGAGCTATGCCAGGTCTGGGGGGAGAGAGGGGAGCCCAATATGAGCCAGCTGACCTTCTGGTTTTGGGGGCAGGCAGGATAACACCATTTCACTCTAATTGATATTTGTGACCAAGTTGTTTGGGGAGGGGAGTTGCTTTGGTTTGAGTTGCTCAAAAATTAGCAAGGACCTTTTGGGGCCTCCAAAACTTGGAGCAGGAGGTGATGCCTTTTCTGAGCACTTGCAAACCACAGCAGGGCAGGAAGTTATAAGCCTCCAATTCAGTCTAGGTCCTCATCTTGCCCACAAACCAGGTTACTCTGTTCACAGTGCACAGCCAGATCCAGGAAATTACTCAGCTAATAAAAGAGAGTGTATCTGGGGTTTTCCACATATACAAGACAAGGGGAAAGGAAACTTCTCATCTCTTAATCCTTTTCTTACAGCCAAGTAACTGTCTTCATTTGAAATTGCATGAAGGAGTAAAATCCTTAATTTTCTTCCATCATAGTGCTTTCTGGTGTGTTTTATTACAGACTGTTTTGCCTATTCTTTTTTCAATAAAAACCTCAAACTTCCACACAGAAAAGGGTACAAATGCAGAGCAGTGAGAAGTTGAGAGGGGAAGCTCTGAAGCAGAGCTACAGGGTTCAGAATCCTCACAGCTCACCTTGGTCCAGGCAAAAATAGGGTAGATGAGCTATAAACTTGCACTTTCTTTTTAACTCTAGGAGTGAAAGTCTTTACTAGCCCTTTGTCCAGTTAAAGCAGATATACATTGTTTGTTGCTTGATTTGCTTTGCTTATTAAGAAGACTAACACTGGGCCACCAAATCTTGAAACCATCCACATCATCAGTGTCTTGCCTTGGTTTGAACTCTGTCAGGATTGCTATAGGGCTGGGTGGCTTCACAAGTCTGCAGTCCACATCTGGGCAGTGGTCCTTGCTAACAGAACTGTTCAAAGCTTAATCTGTTCTTAGGTATGGATCCTACTTCAAATAATCTCCACTTCAAATTACAAGTTTTATTAAAGCATGACTTTCCCTGCATCTGGTGCTTTATGGGCTGTAAGATTTAGCCATAAGTTTTAATGGAGAAGTTAATGCTGAGGTAGCAGTATGTCAGCCAAGTCAGTAGATAAGCCTATATCCTTTTAACCAAGTGCCTTTTCCCTGGTGTAGTCATTCAACAGTGCTAACAATGTCCCCATATGCATCTAGATTAACATATATTTGTAATGTTTTCGTCAGGGGTAACTTCCCACTCTCTTCTCTGGTGCCGTCCGAAAGTTATGAAGAATATATAAGCAGAAGCTCTGCAGTTATACAGCAGATCATCACTGCCTGCCCCAGCAAAGGTAAAGGTTCCAGATCTTTGTATATTCTGCCAAATACTTTCAGCAACAGGAACAGGCAAAGATTTGTCAATAGAAGCACGTTTAACTTGAGCTGTTGGTATTGCACAGAGCTTAAGGCAGACTGCTAATCCTTGTCCTGGACTGCACTAAGCCAAAATACATGCAATTTATGAGATAGAAATGAAAAAGCAAAATTAAACAGAAGACCTTAGAGTACTAAATTGCAAGTCTTGCCTGGTCATTGGGATATAGCTCAGTGTAAGCCAATACACCTTCTGGAAAGCTTATTTTTCTCTTTTCCTACCAAACGCTCTCTGTTACTAGCTGCTACGCCAACAACACACCAGACTTTTTCTGACAGGCACAATACACCCTGCCACATTATCAAAGGAGGTCTGCAAAGATGAACAGCCCCAAAAGAGCCTCATGCCCATCTGCTGATGGGTAGGTAACCTGACAGTGCTGCAGCTCTCATTGTTTTTTGTGGTGTACCAGGTGTCATCCTCATCGTGGGCCATGGCTCCTCCTTGGCATCCTTCACACGACCTCTGCTAGGGCTCCCTGCCAGAGACAGCAGTGACTTTGCCCAGGTGGTACGAAAGGTAAGAAGACTCTTTTTTTTGGCAGGAAGCCTTCTTTTTGTTTTATTATATTTTGATTCAGGAGCCTGCTTATGCAGTGAGACATGCATGTTACTGCATGCCAATACCAAGGACATGATCTTTCTCATTAAAAAGGGAATCTCATGTAGTTTTAGCAAAGCACTAGAGGTCAAGTGAAGGATTTTCTCTTGGTCAACAGTATGTGGCTAGCAGCTACGTCTGTGGAGATTTTCATCCAGCTCCCTTGGAAAGTCAGTGCCCTGTAGCACCTAAAGACAAGAGGCAAACCTCTGCATCTGGCACTAGTCCCCTTCCTTTAGAGACACAGCCCTCTCCTCCCCATTGTGTTGTGAGTGTCACCTGCAGCTACATTCAGTGACTCACTCTGAGAAGTTGTGTGTTTTTCAAGTCACTGTGAGTTCCCAACTTTGGTGCTGAAGGGGTTTTCCTGCCAGCTTCACCAATGGGCCTTGCTCTTGAGGCTTGGTCACTGGAGTTTTTTTGTTTATTTTAGTTGTGTATTATCACCAGTGGCAGAATTCTTCACCCCAGTTTTCCTTACCATCCACCTTGATATGACTTAACTGGAGAATTTGGTCTTTAAATAAAATTTTACTACCACTGTAGATGCTTAAGGAGTGAAAACATTTTGATCATCAGATCCAAGTATAACTGTGAGGTGATTACATAAGGTTAGCTATTGCCCCACAGGCCTCCAGTCTGTTTGTAGTTAATTTCAGAAGTAGCAAAATGCCCTGGTCTTTCTTTCTAGAACAGTCTCAGGATCTGTTCTCTTTTGCATGCTTCACATCAAGCAATGACACTACTAGTAACTTTGCTGGTAAATTCTTTCCTAGATTCCTTCACTGGGCATGTGTTACTGTGAAGAGATTAAAGAGGAGAACAAATGGCAGATGGTCAACCCACCAGTAAAGACATTAACTCATGGAGCAAATGCAGCGTTTAACTGGAGAAATGGTATAGTGGAAGATTAGAAGGCTGGCTCTGCCTTTGGACTTGTCAAAAACGAGACAAAGACAGGTCATGGTTCAGCACAGTAATCCAACCAGAATATCTACAGAGGGTAGGAATTACCCTCTGAGAGCTGTCAAAGCACAGAAAAACTCTTCAAAGTTTGACACCTGAATTTTCTTTTCTTTTCAGTGGCTGAGAAGTAGCAGCCTAGGAACTGGTGTGCAAGTGAGCAATAATCTTAGCAGTGGTGAAAAATAGTACCTCTTAACCTTTTCTGAAAGTACCAACATTTAATAAACACAGAACTACCTGATTATAAATTCCACTGCTGAAGGCACTAAAGTAGACGATGTTACATTTTCCAAGACCAAAATACATCCAGTAAGAATTGCTCTTTTTTCATGCACTTGGATATTTTCAGACAAGAAGAGAACTGGAGTCTATAAAAAAGTTATCTCCTAGCTGAAGAGGAGACCAGCTTTACCTATAGCCACTGGGTTTCCTATTCACTCCACCAGTCTGCAAGACCAAATACCACACTATTTATTTACCTCTTCTACAAAGGGAATCTACTTTCTATCACAACAGCTCCTCATTCAGCGATTCCTGAGTGAGCTGTGTTGCAAAAGGGACTAAATTATTCCTTTTTGAAGAAAATTGAACTTATTACTTTACTGTTGCTGGAACAAGAAACGATGCCCTGCATCACTGTAGTGATGACAAAACTGTGATGTGAACAACTCTAACTGCTGAACACTTCCTGAGATGGCACTCATAGGACAACAACTTTGCTTTGTGCTGTTCTGTGCCAAATCCTATAAATGGGGACACACCTACAGGATAGGTCACCCAGAAGGTCTCTGTTGCTCTTTTCTTGGTTATTTGTTTGGTTAAGGAAATAAAGAGCCAAAATTGTCTGCACAAACAGGGACATGCCTTTCCACAGAGCCAGGTTTCCTTTCCAATTTTCCTTTCTACTTATCCTCTCCAATAATTGCACCTGGGAAAGCACAACTGCTTTGTCCAATGACAGGGAAAAAAAAAAAAAAAAAAGAGTTTTCTTTTTCTTTCTTAGCATGACTAAAAGTGTTTCATTTTCACTCTTTATTTCCATACTCCTTCTTGACCTATCTCTGCATGCACACCTTTAACCTCAGAATTAGAGTCCATCCAGCATTCAGGCTTTGGGGTGACAGGTATCTGACAAACACTCTTATCTGTGGGCATGGAGATTTCTTCTCTCTGTCTTGCCTCTGAAATTATTCATTTTGACTTTCCAGCTCTGGTGATGCTGCTTGAGCTCTTTCTTTTCTAACAGCACTGCATTTTTTCAAGTGAAATTATAACATCCCAGAGCCAAGACAGGAGCTCTTTAGCTAGCAAGTGATGCCAAGAAGGGTATAGGACTGCATCGCTGGCTGCAGCCCAGAAAAAAAGTAATAACCCCAAGTGTCACCATAGCTTCTTCTTGCTCCAGGGGAGCAGGATGCCACTGCAATACTGAGAAGACAGTGGCTTGGTTACTTCTCCGAATCTTGCCCCATCACACACTTGCTGTTAGCTGAGGGTGACAGGTGTGGTGAGGGACAGCTTTGCACTAAGCCTTGAAGGCAGTGGCAAGGCTCCTCTGTGGTGTTCATGGAGGGCTGTGAGTCAGAGATCTAGCTGAGAAAGGGCAGTAGAATACAAGAAAATCAGCACATAGAGGGAAGAGCAAGGTGATGTGTGAGGGAGGAGCACCTCCTCCCTGTGCTCAGTCATGCTAACAGTAACCAGCAAGGGTCTGCCAGCACACCTCAAGCCCGATCCATTCTTGGAAGCCTGTCCAAGTGGGAAGAGAGAGGGAAATTGGGACAGTGAGGCAATGGCAGTGGCATGGGACAAGAAACTTGCTCTGGGCATGGCTCGTCTGCAGTGGCTCACAAGAGGTTCAAGCTCAATGCCTGCAGAGGAGTCAGCTCCCATCTCACAGTGCTTCCATAGGGCTCTGCTCTCTATGAAAGCACAGGAAGTTTCACTTCAATATGAGGAAAACTTTACTGTAAGGGTGACTCATATAGAAATCATAGAGTGTGCTGCAAATACCAGTTTGGGTTAAGAATCTGGGTCTTCTTTTAAAACACCAAAATAAACCACCAAATAATATCTCTCCTTTCACACAGTGGCATAAGAAGTATTGTCAGGGTGGCTCTGCGTGCTGGTTTGGTTTGGCAGGATTTTTGGTAGTGGGGTAAGGGCCCCCGGGGGGGCTCAGGTAAGAAGCCGAGAAGCTGCTCCTGCTCCAAACCCAGCCAAGGAGCCATTAGAGGGACAAAAGATGCACCTCTGTCATTAACATACAAAAGAACTGAGATAACACCTGAGCAGCAGAGCACTTAAAGAAAAAGAGCTGTGGTGGTTGGTGATGAAGAAGGGGCAGAAGGTGCCCAAGCAGAAGTTTCCCTGCAGCCCATGGCGAGATGGCAGCTGTGCCCCTGCACTCATGGAGGAATGTGGTGGAACATTCCCTGAAGGCACCAGGAGGGGTGAACTTGGCCAGTGGACATGGATCTTGTGGCCAGAGGATTTGCTGCCAGTGGACTCTGATTGCTCAGCTGTGGAAGCCCCCGGGCCAGGGGAGGTGGCTGTTCCCGAAGCCCCCGTGACTCTGTGGGAAGCCCAGGCTGGAGCAGCTCTGGACCTTGTGGGAAGGACTCAGGAAGGAGAGGTTCCTGGAGGACTCTCTGCCATGGGAGGAACCCCGTGGGGAAGCAGGGCAGGACTGTCAGGAATCCTTCTTCCTGAGGAGGCAGGAGCAGCAGGAACCCCCAGCCTGTGAGGTGACTCCAAACCCCATCCCCTGTCCCCCTGTGCCGCTGGGGGGAAGGAGGGACAGAAACCGGGAACAGAGGGATTGGGGCCTGGGAAGAAGGGAGGGGTGGGGTAACATCTGCAAGCCCTGCTCTGTGTGTGTCTGTGTCCTGTGTGTGTTTGGTTAGTGTGAAATTAAATTATTATTTTTTCCCCAAGTTGAGACTGTTTTGCATGGGACCTTCATTGGTGAAGAGCCCTCCTTGGCCTTTGTCTCAACCCATGGGCTTCTAGTTGGGCTCTGTCCTCCCCATCCCACCCTGTGTGGAGGAAGGGAAGTTGGGTCAGAGGCCACGTGGCTGGTTGTTTGTTGTCAGGTTGGGCCCAAACCAGTTTTTGGTTTGTGAAAAGTAACATGTAGGAGCAGCATTATCTCTTTTCCTGGAACAGCTTTCCTACACTGCTCCTGCCACATGCGACACAGCAATAAAATACCTCTCTTTACATTTCTCTTCTTTTGGTCTGCATAAATAATGTTACTAAAGGGCAGTTTACAGCACTAAAATCCTGTGATTTTCCATCAAGTTCCTACCCAAAGCAAGTCCATGCAGACTGCCCTAGAGGCAGGTGTTGGGTGGGGTAAGAAACACAGCTGAGGGAAGAGCCTCTCTGTCTGGTAGGACCTTGCTTGTTGGGGAGGGACTGGGTGAAAGATTCAACCAGTTTACCTAATCTTGGCATGTAATCAAAAGGCCCACGGAGCATGAACAACGTTATTTGCAAATTAAATAGGCTCACTAGACAGATTGCTAGGACACTTGAATCAAAATCCCACTACGCTTTTTTTTGTTTCAATGCAGATACACTCAAATGGATTTAACTTTGGTGAATGCAATGAATTAAACATCAGAGCAAGTGGGAAAGAGGGTTTGGGGACTTAAATATTTGTTTCTGCAGTGAATTCTATAGAATTCAGACCGTGCTAAGCAGGTGACAAATGCTCATTTGCAAAACACTTTATTTAACTTATAAATACTTCTCTTATTTCTACCATCTGAATTAATTGAACAGAAAGAACAGGCAGCATATACAGCAAGTAATTCAAACTGTATCATAGTCTGAATAAATAGCGGAAGGTTAAGGACAAACTTACTCTTACAAGGAACCTGCTTTTGCCTTTCCTAGGACCCCATATGAGCAGAGATTCATCTCTAAAGAGCACTGGTTATGATAAGAGCTGGAATTGTATCTTTAAAGTACAAGGGTTCTCAGTTGTAAAATGTAATGCTTAGGAGAGACAGAGAATTCCTAGTGTGGCATGTTCATAATATGAAATTAATTGCTGAACACAGGTGAAATGAAGGAAATGTCCTTTGAAGATTTGAAATTGTTTTTATAATAAGCAAAAGAAATAGGACATTCTTTTTCAGTTACTTGATTTTTTAATGTAACTTCAAAAAATATATGTTGCTTTACTCAATTACAATTTTCTTTCATTGGGTCTATTTCATTACAAAGGTATGTACTGGAATAGATCCTTTTAGTATGAGAGGATCTGAATGTGTTGCTTGTATCTTAAAAACTGAAAACATACAACATTTTTATAAAGACCTACAGTGAAATTAATCTATGGTGACACCTTGTGGGAAAACATAAGCTCAGATTTACATGGCTAGAAAAGATCTTGTGTGATTGAGTAATGGGGAGGAAGAGCAGCATTTTTTTGTATGTTTTGAAAAAGAATTCTCCTTCCATACACTTTGAAAGGATAGGAACACAGAAATTTATAATATTTGGGACTACTTTTAGGCAGCAGTGCTTGGAGAGACACTTGAGTCAAGTTCTTCTGAAAAGCAAGATTTAAAAAATTATTAATATTATTTTCCTGATTTTTCCAAAGCTTTTTCTTTGTGCCAGCACTGACATTGGTGCAAGGTGAATGTGCAGTCCTGCTGACTCAGAACAGTAGTAATTTCTACTCATTTTGTACAATTTTAAATAATCAGGCAGGGAATAAAGCAGTTGAGCAGATTTTTTTATTGTCTCCTGAGAGCTGTGTTATTGAAATGCTCCAAAACAAAGGATTATATATATTTTATTTTTTTTTTAAGACTCTATGACGCTCTTTATTGTGAGTTCATAAGGATGTATGGCTCTCGTCTTGACCTTTTAGTGCTTTCTTTAATGGGTGTTTAAAAATCATGTCCTTGGGATGCCTGAATATCTGCCT